ATCACCATATAACTCATAATTAAGAGTATATATGGAGGCAAGAGTGAAGCCTTCTTCACTCCTATCTACATCTTTTTAGTCTTTAGTCTCATTTCAAGACTTTATAGGCTTCTTATCTTTGGCGATACATATTAAAATTTAATACTATATCATCATCAAGTGATTTTTTAGTCTTTTTTTAGTCATACAAGAGAGTATTGAAGTTTCTTTTTGAGATTCATATCCTTGACATAATGTTTTATAAGACCTTTAATATGTGTTGACTTTATAAGACACATATCTTAACTTGTAAGGCAAGATTTTTATATGTGTACTACATAATTAGCTTATTTTACAAGCTACCAATACATTTGATATGTAATTAACTTAATGACCAAGTTTTTAATCCACCAATTAACTATAAATATGTATAAAATCAAAATCACATCTATGAGGCTTCTAAGAAGTTCTTCTAAAAGATATCATGAAATTAATTTACTTTTACCTACTTCTATCTATTCATATAGGTAATTATTGGAATAAATATGTATGTCCATGCCACATGGTTAACTTGTACTGAAGGCCACTAACATGTGGGACATATAGTTAACCTATTGGCTAAGTTTCTACTTATTAATGAATTAAATATATATATATATATATATATATATATATATATATATATATAAATTCAAATATATATCTTTAAAGCTTTAAAGAAGCTTCACAATAAGATATTATCAAATCTACTTTTATTTATCATCTATATAATACTTCTTATTTAAGAAATTAAATATTTTTTTGATATCAAAATATTTAAATAAGCATAAAAAACTATTGCCTAATTTTAGTATTATCTAAAATATTATAATTTAGTACTTGACTTGTCAAGATACATATTACTTATCATCTTTAAAAACACAATAAGCATATTTTTAAAAAATTAGATAATTTAAAAAATATATTAATTTCATATATATATATATATATATATATATATATGTGTGTGTGTGTATATATATATATATGTATGTATGTATGTATGTATGTATGTATGTATGTATGTATGTATGTATGTATGTGTATGTGTGTGTATATATATATATATATATATATATATATATATATAAGTCGAATATACATTAAATTATTTTTTTTATTATTTTATAATATAAAAATACGAAAAATATTTCTCTAAATATTAAAAAAATAAAAAATAAAAAATTGGAAACATATGTATTCTTTAGCATCAAAATCAAGTGTATATATATATATATATATATATATATATATATATATATATATATATATATATATAATATTTTTTAAAGCTTTATATATATTTTTATATAATTAATGATAATTAAATTTTTGTTAAAATTTTATTGAATATCTAAAAGGTTTATTAATATTAATTAAAATTATATTTAATATTTAAAATTATTATTTTCTTATTTATTTCTAAAAAAGTAATGTTGTATCTTTATTTTAAAGAATATTTTAAAAATTAAATTACTTTTATTTAATCAAAAAATAAATTAATATTAACTTTAGATGTTTTAAACTACTTTATCTTCTAAATTTTAAATATTATTGTTTCAGTGTTAAAAAGTTAGAAAATTTTAATATTACGTAAACCATCTTAATAATATTTTTTAACATAATACTGGCATAAAGGCGGATTTTAAATTATGAATAATTTTTTATAGAAAAAAAATCAATCTTTATATCTAAAATTATTGTGTAATATAATTATTTGAAGCCTTAAATCATAATTCTTATAATAAATATATTTTTTAAAAATAAATTCAAAAACAAATATTATTGATATGTTAAAGAAAAAATAAAATATAATTATAAATGATTGGACTTGTGATAAGAAATATATATATAAATATACATATATATATACACATATATATATATATATATATATATATACACATATATATATATATATATATATATATATATATAAGTTAGTATACATGCTGAGACAAAATAATACAACATAATTATAGACTGATTTAAATGTAGTAATGAAATATATGTTATGTTCTTGTGTAATACTATAAAAATATTTGTTTAAAGCTTTTTTAGTATTAGAGATAGAATTATAATATAAAAAATTGATATTATAGAAATTAAATAATTTTAATAGAAGACTTGAATGTTATTAAAAATATAAATATAAAAACATAAATATAATTGAAAAAGAGTAAACTTTGAGGAAGATATTATATGCATCTAATTTAATTTTTATTTTTATTTTTTATAATAAAAATATTTTTTCATTAAAATTGTTTTTTTAGAATTCTTACAAAATATTTATTAAAATTTTAAAATTATCAAGCTTAAATAAACATCATCTTTTTTAATTTTAGTATTTTTAATTTTGATAAATTATATATATATATATTGATAATTTAATCACAACAAGAAAAAATATTAAAGACACAAAAAAATTTAGAATACACAATAATAGTAATTATAGAAGAATTAAGAATTTAATTACAAAATAAATATTAATTTTTATAATCTAAAATTTTATGATATTTAAAATATATTAATTAATTATACATATATTTTATTGGTATTATTTTTTTATTTTTTTATTTTTTTATAATATTTTAAAATTAATTATATAGCATTGTTATAGAAATATTTTTATTCAAAGATAATAGTTATTTATCTTGTAAAGTAATATTTTATTTATCTATCGATACACTATCTATTAACTAATTATATTCATATAATATATATATTTTGTATATTATAAATAAAATTATTGAACTTCTACCATTATCATAGAAAATATAAAGAAGATAAATCTTTTTTAGATTGAATAATAAATAAATAAATCCACGAAATTCAACAATCTTCTAACCAAATCACAAGAACCACATACAACCTGCTATTTGGTCCATTATGGTTGTGCTCTTTTCCAATATTTTGCATGAAAAAAATATAGACTTTTGCCAAATATTAGCTTGTGTAGTGCAATTAGTTGTATACATACTCAACAATTAGCTTCAATACTAGCTCTTTTTAATTATGGTGCATTTTTGCTTGCATTGATGAATCTCTATTAATAAGTGATTTAGGAAGTTACACATGTCTTACCATGATATGAATATTCAATGAAGTATAGCAATTTAAAGAATTATTTTTACAATTTTCTTTTTATTTAAAAACAAACTAGTACGCATTTCTTTCTTTCTAATTTGCAAGTATATATTGTCATATATATCCTAGTCATTTCAAAATTATCAAATCTGCATAGGCAACTTTGAGCCCAACATCCAAATTCAACTTTACATTCTATTCTATATTATTCTCCATTCATTCTTGGCACATATTGAGAATGAAATGTGCCACCTTTTTTCCTACAAAAGCAAGTAGAAAGGCAATCACATGGAAGCAAACAAAGCATAGAATTGCTCTAGTTTACAACCATGTATATTGTGGAGCTTCTCTGTAGAGGAGTATCTTCTTTATTTCTCTTGTCATTACAAAAAGGCTTCTTTGACAAAGCAAAGCAACTCCACTACCAAATATAATACCAACATCTAAAACAAATCACTTGTTAGCTTATATCTACATATGTTACAATGACTCGAGTTCAACATAATAGTAAATATTAATATGGACTAGATTTGATCTAGTTCAAGCTCTAGGATGTTCTCACCTTAGTCTAAGATTGGTTTTATTAACACCCTATGAATTGGCAGGTTAAGTTAAGTGTTGATAAAATCAATAATGATTGAATGATGCAGCCAATCTAAAAGCCAATTTTGTCTCTTTGGTTTATATTTTTGATTAATATCTCTTTTGATATATTTTTAATAGATATCTAAAAAAAATATTAATTATTTTTTAAATATTTATGTAAAAATATTGTGTATATTTAAAAATATATGATATATGCAATCAATTTAATAAATAAAATAAATAATTTTTTTTACTAAATAAATTATAAAATATTCTTTAAAATATGGTGAGTTCTAAATTATATCACTTAATATTGTATCATATTCTTTATAATGTTACTATCATTAAAATTATCAAACTTTGTATAATAAATATATTTTAGTCAAATTAATAGATACAAATAGAAAGTAAAATTGATGTTAAGTAAATAAATCATAATTTTTTTTTTTAGCTATTTCATTTATTTAATCTATATAAAAAATATAATTCTTTGGTTATACAATAAGATTTAAAATTAAAATCTTAATACTATAATCATTTAGAAATCAACTAAAATTTTAAAATATTTAATATTTTAATTTATCTTATATTTGAAATAGAGCACTTCTTATCCATTTTATTTTTATTATATGAACATATAATTAAGTTAATTTTTAAATTTTATATATAGAATTTTTGATTATTCTTTAATAAAAAATCTAAAAATAAATAATTTTGAATTTAAAAAATATTATTATACAAATAATCCAATAAATAGTATATTAAAAATTGATAAATATTATCAAATTGATAATTATATGTTATTAATTTACTTCACAACTAAAACAAATAAGACATAACATAATTCCATAACATTAGCATGAAGAGAATTTCGCATGATTTTAAGGAGACAAATTTTTAACACTAAAACCATGCAAAATACACACACACACATATATATCACTTTTATTGCATGAGCTATCCCATCTACCCTTTAGCCAATCTCATCCTTAAGTTACTTGAGTAGCCAACTTGAACATGCATACTGATAATTCTTAGACTAGCCCAAACTCTTCATTAATGTCTTACATAACTTCATCCCCTCTTTTGTCCAATCTAGGATTGGTTTTTAATGATTTAATGAAAAACAAACAAATGTCTGGAACAGAAACGTGAATGCAAATGGTAATTTCTAAGGCCTACATATCATGAAGGAAAATAAGGTTGTACGCACATTTTCCATGCTTTAAGCTTAACACAAATGCAACTAGGCTCGCACATCCAGTAGATCTTAAGAACAGTGCCACAACAACAAGAATTCACAGCATAGCTTTTCAGATGTGAAGGTGATGTGATTGATCCCCCAATATCATGTACTTGAAATCCAACAAAAGAGATAGCATGAGAAAGTTGGCTTCAACAACAAACTAGATTAAAATTACACGCTAGATGGATTATCAGTAATCTACAGCTAGAAGTAAAAAATGATATTTGGACTAAAAATTGGGTGAACCGATTTAAGGTCACAGAAAAAATAGACCACGCAAAGTAAGGGATCTCATGTACCAAATTTAATGTTTTAGAGATATTTACATAATTGGACTTCAGCTTGATAGCAGGCACATTAATCAGCACAAGGGGGTGATATTGCAGACGCAAGGGACAAATGGAATACGCGAACAGCACCAATCAAGCGCTCTGGAAGCTCTTCCATGCCATTTCCCTGCAGAGTGCTGCACATACAAATAACTGATTTGCAGAGTGCAGTAATAAATTAAGCTCAGCTACAAATATATAGTCTCAGGCAACTCATGTGACGGTTGAACAAAACAACGTTATTACTTGCAAGGGGAAATCATTACGCAAGTCATCGTTAATCAATTAAGCATGACTTCAAAGATTGTCGCGAGCAGATTCATGCATAACCACAAATATTTTTGTTGGAAACTACATAAGAACGTGTGAATTATTTGTACAATACTCAATTGTTGAAAAACCAATACTAGAATTAATAAGGGGAAACAAAAAGAACAGAACAAAACAAAAAAAAAAAAAAAAAAAAAAAAAAAAACCCAAAAACACAAAAAGGAAAAAGAAAAAAGAAAACGGATTAACAAAAATTCTAGATACAAATACCTGAATCAAGAAGGCCATGTCAACAACCAATGCACTCACGACACCAAAAACAAGCCCAAGTACACCATTAGCTACTGTTGACGATCCAATGTCTGCGTCAACCTGATCAAGCCAACGAGAAATTTTGTATATTTTTGTATACTTGATCAAGCAAAGGATCGAGGAAAAGAGTTGGACACTAATTTCTATCCCCAACCACCAATTATTCATAGCAAGGAGCTGCCGAAGCTAAGTCAACGTTGCCAACAATAGCTGATTCAACTCAGCAAATCAAAACATACCATATTTCCAGGATTACGCTCTTCCTTCTCAGTTCATTGAGTCAATAATAATGAGTTGAAACTGCAAGTACTTTCTGAACCTTTATTTTTACATACATATAAATTAAAACAAGAGCAATTACCTCAAGGTAATTCGGACCGCGATGATATGTACAATCTACTGGTTTGCCAAGAATGCAAGGCGTAGTACCTATACTCTGTCTTACAATCCAGAATCCCTGCAGAAACAGGTCTTCAAAAATTAGAATTGGCGACTGATTGTTTCAAATTATTGAAATGACGGAGGCCAGTGCCAAGAAAAATGTGGGAGGTGACTTTTAAAAACTGAATAGACTACGTACTAAACATGTCATTTGCAAAGTGCATCAAAGATGGTAGAATAAAAAGGGCCCACTGGAATTAGGACAGCATACCTGGGGAATAGAAGGTATAAGTTTGAGGCGACTGTTACGAAAATTGTCATCTCCATCCACAAAGCGTCGCAAGAGCGAACCTTGTGGCGCCAATGGTGCAACGAAGTAGAAAATCATGCTGTAGTGGGAAGCACCTGGCAACTGGATTCATAACAAAGAATTTGGAAAGACTTTTCACAGTTATGCAGCACAAGGTTACTCAATAAGCTAAATCTTCGTGGAAAGATACTTTAAAGCGATTGATTCGGTCATAGGAATTGCTACACAAACAAGTTATTCATTGATGTATTGACTCAAGTCCAATATATGGACACTAGGATATTAGAATCATCTCGATGCACTTAATCACCACAAAAGTAAAAGGATGAAATGAAATATATAATTATTTGCGACGAATAAAAACTCCGAAGCAATAACAGGCACACGTAGATATGTTCAGCTTGGCTTAGCTTATATAACTATAAAAATATCTACATATACAATCAGATGCTGCGATCCCAAACCTGAACATTGAACGCAACTGTAAAAAGTCCCATCCCCCCAGCCACCTGAAAAATATTGATAACTCAGCCAAATTTCAACGCAAAGCTACATAGACGGGTCCTGGATATAATAATCACTACATTGAGATGCAATAATTAGTAGTTCAGGTAGTATCCGTTCATGATGAAACACGCATAACATACTCAGTAGCACAAATCTAACAGGACGTCATACCCAAGAACAGGACTACATTCACTAAATTTACTACATACCCAAGACCAGCGTTGTTTGTTTATATTCACGCAGACATACCCGTTCGGGGATGGAAGACTTGCAAATAAATCTTAAAAGTTGGCCACACCTTTCTCAAGTAATTAGAATAAAGCACTTCGTTTGAACTAAGAAATATTTACTTTTGTATTAATCAAAATCCCCAGGCTGGTGTTCGGAACGAATCAAAGCTAATTGCACAAGTCGGAGCTGCATTAGTGCTGGAATATAAACTAAAATTCAAGCATAATCAGTTTAAAATTACAGTCAGTTCTAAAACGCTCGCAACCAACAGATTGATCCACCAAGAATGCTGGAATTTGTAGCAAATACATATTTAAGAAGGATCAAGAGAGGGTAGAAGCCGATTCGAAAGAGGAACTTATACCTGGGAAACACAGCCTTTTCTCTTAGAAACATGATCAATTCGTTTGATGTCTCTAAACCAATCGACTGCCACAAGCTGCATCAATGGTTCACCTGCAGCAGTCTGTTTATATAGGAGATGTTCGAAAATATAATTCTCAGGACAAAATGAAGGTAACGTAACTCGTACAATCTCGCACAATACACCTATTGCTACCCACAGATGGTCTTCATGGCAGGTTTAAGAATGTACAAGACTTCTGATGAAAACCAACATATTCTAACATCCCCAAGTGTACCTTATGTAGTGTAAAGAGTGGTGCAAGCAAAGTAGGGAAGATTCCACCTCTATAGAAGGCAGTGATGACACGAACATACGCAATAAAATTCAGGCTAATTAAAGGTTAAAATCTCAAGAGTTTTTCTACATGTTATGAAAAAACATAAAATGGTGTACGAAAAAGTACACATTGGAGAAAAAGAAAAAATATTCACTTGGAGAAAAAACTTGCCTTTGAACGATCAATTAGAAAGTGCTTGCTTCGAATTCGGAAACTATTGCAATCTGGAATACTCCAACAATTCTTCCCGTTATTGAGGTCACCCTTACGAAGATTGCCCGATAACATTGACAAATCCGGAATTACAGGTGGTGGCTTCAAAAGCAAATCTGCGTGAATATCACACATATATATTCTTTTAATAATTTTCTCATCATCCTTCAAGGAAGCCATTTCAAACTTCAAATGCTCTATGTTATACATACTTCGTAATTCATCTACTAAATGACGCATTGGATAAAAATACTTCATATTCTTTGGGGATCTCGAATTTAATTATTCATATTTAAAACCCAAAGAAGCCCAAAAATTACTATCTCGCTGAGTTCTTCTATAATTAAGTGTTTAATCCTGAGCATTCATTCCAGTAAACCAACCGATTCCTTCGAAAGCCTTCCAATATTATTAGCCCTTCAGACATAAGTATAAAAGATAAAGTCATTTAATACCTGTTGCACTGGAATGCTCCGATCCAAAGTCGGGCTGTCAGCCCAAATTAAGACGAAGAAACATTAGAAACTAAAGAAATCTAATGTTTGTCTCGGAACGAACTTCAATTTTGCACATCCACCATTACGACTCACGCCGAAAAGTCCAACCTATAATAATAGATTTGCCTTACCCTATCATCACCAAAATGTCTTGATGCAACTTCACCATGTGCAAAGGAGACACGCTGTAAAAATAAAACTGACCTCAGGATTACTATAGTACCGCAAGTCATCGTCCTCGAACTCAGACTCATCAGACATGGATACACCGGTTGCGATCACCTCAGGTACTGAAACAATTTTCTCAGGTGTAGATCGCTGTCTTAGCTTTCCAGAGCCTAATTTAGGGATCCTATATACAGGTGGTACAGCATCCCGTACTGCAAACCACTCCCTGAGACCTGAAAAGGGCATTGAAGCAATCGTGTCTATTAATTACAAGATCAGGGGATAATAAACATTAGCACATGCAGTAACAACCGTTCTACATCAGAAAGAACTGGTAGGTGCGAACATCACGCTATTGCAAGGGTATATAAAAAATATCTGCTAAGCAAATGGACAATAGAGAAAGAGAATTCCAGCTTGACAAGAAGAAGATATGCTAGTTACCAGCAACACTGTTGAGGATCTGTATAACAGAGTAAGGATGGCAAAACGGAATATAGTTTGCACCCCAACCCTTCAAGTCAATATGCACCAACTGCTGCACACGTGCCCGAGGTTCTCCATTTTTATGTGGCTTTAGAGGAAAGATACTGAAACCTCCACCTACACATCATGCATTCCATCTAGGTGATACCGAAAAACATTCAACATACAAATTGGAGTACAACATCATAGCACCTCTAGAAAGCTTGAAGCTAACGATGAATAATTTCAGACTATGCCAAGAATCATGAAAGTCACAACACTTACAAGAAAAAATCGAATCAGGGTATAGAGAGCACAGAAGAGCAAACGTGACTGCACTTAGGGCAGAAAACCAGTCAAAAAGAGCTCATAATGTCACAACTTGTACTTACTCTCAATTTGAGCTCGAACACACCCTGGCACTGGTGGGCAACTCGGATGATCATGAGACCGGAACAAAATAACTGTAGTGAAACCACAAAACAATTCAGACAGAGGACTTTCATCAAACCTTATAATTTCTCTAATTACCTGTGCAGTCAGTGACCTCAGACATCTTGCAATAGTACATGGAAGTTACAAGTACCTATGGCTCATTGGAACCTTGCACAAGTGAGTCATTCTGATAGCTTCAGCACTTTCCTCAAACATGCAAGACTCAAAACTAAGACCAAAACTACGACCAAAAATTAATTTTAAAGAATAATCTAGAACAGTAGCGGATCCATAAGAGGCATTTACTTTAAACAGATTTACAATGAAATTCTCAAAGCTGTCGAAATAAGCAAACCATGTAACAATATTTTGCATTGAGGCCTTTTAAACGAGCTATTTCTATGAAAAATGTGAAATACTTTGGTCCAAAATTGGGTATTGTCCTACTAGTCCGTTAATCTCCTTTGGCAAAGACATACTGAAATTTGTCGACATTCAGAGAGGTTTAACATACTTAATGCATTTGCAATTCTGGAATCCGACACTGAAATTCAGCCACGAAGTGCGTAAGCACTCAAGAATCATAGTTAGTGTAGTGGCCCCATTCAAGTATCAATTTTCAGAGGTGAGACTTCAAATTCACATAATGTCCTGTGGAAACAAGTATGTACAAAAAAACTCAGAAAGGAACGCTACAAGTGCAAGAGGAAGAAGAGGATGGCTTGCAAAGAGCACCATCTTAGCAGGAGAATTGTGCGAAGGATGCATTCCACAGAAAAGACTGCACAATAAAGAACTCGTGGGTAATATAGAAAAATACCATAACTTCCATCATCATTGCGACGTCAATATCGCAGATAGCAAAGGTCCCGAGGCCATATGAACCTGCAAATATGTCCAAAGAATTTGTCAAACAACTGCATAACTACAAACACAATGACTGAATTTAAATAGTAGGCATATAAATAAACCTGTCTAATATTTTTCAAAAACAAAAAAAAATTAACTTTTACATCATAATTTAAAATAAGAAAGAACAATGGGAATATTGTCTAACACAATTGAACGAGACACAACACAAATAATTTGGATGATGGAGGATTAGAAAAAGCCTGTTCACCTGATGACAGATTAGCACAACTCACAAGGGAAGAAAGTCCAACTGGAGACGTTGATGAAGAATTGTAGTGTGACCATCAACCTCCTGCACCACGTGGGCTTTGTGAAAGCTGCAGTCCCACCTGCAATGAGAGCCCTATAGTGTCAGGTACTCCAAGAAATGCAGACTGCCTAACTGACAAAACTGCATGCTTGCGCGTAAGACATTAAAGTTGAAAAGGATGAGAAACAATTCAATCTTCCGATGACATCGTGAACCAAAAATATAGAAAGAAACACGAATAACCATTGAAACAAGGTAGGAGACTCCAAATCGTCCATACTCAACCACACTCTGCGTTTAATATGACATAATGATGATATCAATAGTCAAACATAAGGTTTTTACAAATTTAAGATAACTATTAACTTACTCATAACGTGTTTCATTGATACCCATGATAAGCTCAAAAACATCTGCACAAGATGCCTCCACCACTCCAACTGCCTTCATTCCCTTGCGACGGCCCTGCACCAGCACGTGATTTCGTATCTTTGTTATGATCCGGTCAATATAGATCATTCGCATTTAATGACTGATATAGAAGCCCCATCTAAGCTTCGTACATGACAAAAAGCGGACAATTTCAAAAGAGTACTTACAGCTTGAACACCATCCTGAACTTCTTCAAAAAATCGAAGTCCTGCAAAAAGGCGTCGCAGTATGAGACGAAGTCACAAGCTTCCATATGCCACGCAATTACAAAAATACACATAAGTCTTGCATAAAGGTAAAAACCATGCCGCTTCATTGGAGGTTGAAATGCCCAAACTTGCCACTTTGACATCGAACAAGGTGCCAATGTCTTCTTGCAGAAGCAGCTGCATTGGCATTTAGATTATCCCACTTTGGATCCATCCTCTCACTCCAAACTTTTATTGATTCTGGAGGTCCTGACACCAATAAAGAACTAGAATGTAACCTCAAAAATCTTGATACGTCTGTGCAAGTAAGTTTCTGCACGATGGCATGTTACTGCTTCATAACTCGCATGACTTAAAACTCGAGTGTTCATTTAATAATGCCCATTTCTAGCTGGATGCAGAATTGGTACTTCCACGACAGAAAACAGTTCAGAGAAGTTCGAATATTAAGCTTTCACCAATCAGGTTACTGAAGTACCATTTCCAACAGTCCTGAGCCTACGTTGATTCTGCTGCTTGTCGTAATAATCATCGGGTTGAGATTTGCTACTCTTGGCCCTGAAACACGACATATGACGGAAGAAATTGAATAAGCTAACTGACATCTCTGTGCAAACTGAATACCACAAACAACTTCAACTAACACGTGAGGTAGATCACAATGACCACGAAGTGCAGGATACGAACTGGCTATCATGGTCTGAGGAAGATGCATTCCGGCCTTGGTCTACTGGTGTTTTAAATACAGAAAGTGGAAAGGTCATGTTCACATCCGCTGTGTGCAGAATCAAGCACTGCAACCATTATCCACAACCTGCATCAATATTTCGACGTAGCTCCTAAGCTTTATTTGCTCTCAGAAACCACTCCATGCGCGTATTGAGAAGACAAACATGAAATTAAATGTTATTTTTACTCTTTAAAACAAGCCAGCTCGCAAAAAGAGTTGCACAGCGATTACCCAATTCGGTTAAGATGCTACAGCACCAGGCTCGTTAAGTTACCAGGTTCCAAATGAAGTACATGGATTACCTGGTCAATGACTTGTTCCAAAGCTTCCTTCCATGCAGATGCATCCTGCACATTAAACGCAGCCATCTGGACCGAACAAGCAAGAAAGAATCAGTTCCAATTCAATTATTTTCTGTACATGCAGCAATTTTCAGTTACAATCAGATTCTTAAATAGAAACATCATGAATCAGTCCTAATCACAATGTTACGAATGAACCAAAAATACCAGCACAGACGTTCATACGAAACTAGGACGGAGGAGAGAAATACCGTCATCCGATGAGATTTACCTCTCTTATTGTATGTGGAAAGCACATATATAATCTGCAAAATACCCGCCGAAACAAATCGACCACCGTGGAACGCAATAATCAGTATAAGGAATTTAAAAACTACAGCCTATCGGAGTTTTTTCACCTAAAATGCCCGCACAAGAGGAGCGTGGAACTAGCAACGTAATGACCAACGTACTCGCATAGTACAGTAGGTCCTTTTAAAGCTGCATGAGTGACCAATGCTTCAAGGTAACAGCGAAAAGCAGGATTCACAGCTGTTGTATGATTTCCCACAACCACATAATGATAATCCTAACAAACCATTTCGTATGTCAAATGTTACTGGACTATCTGTCCGACTAGATTGTCTATAAACGCGCACTGCATTAAATGATAGTAATTCTATGGGAGCTTCCCGGGGATATAATAATCCTAAAAATTGGATGTATCCAGCTAGAAGAGGGTCACTAGAAGTCCACTTAGACCGAAACCGTAAAAAGTCAACTCACGACGCACACCAATTGAACAAAAGATTAATCCTGCCAGGTATCATGCCCAAACATAGTCGACCACGAGGATTACATAACTAGGCGCAGAAGTAGAGCTCTTATAAACTAGTCTAAACTGTATCCAACAAGAATCATGATGCACTTCTTGCATGTCAAAACAATTCTCGTATTTTTCTAGTAATCGCTGCTTTTAGGTCTCAAAACAAGCAGGAAGCGAAAGTTTCATCGTGCATCGACAGCTACAGCACCAATTTTTCTATTGACAGATTTTAAAAGTGGAATATTCCAATCTTTAAAAATATAAATACATCATGGAATGATCACCATACGCGGCCGTGATGAGTCTTAAGCCCTCGATCTTCCACTCGACAATTTCCATTAATCGGAAGAGTTTTAATAGGAACCTGCATACAGATATCAACGAATTTCATAGGGGTCAGTGTCCTAATTACACGAACAGCTTCATCATGACAAGTAAAGCTTTCATGACACTCCTTCAAAGCGAGATGTGAAGAATCCTTCCACTAAACTACTTGCTGGGGTTTTTAATTGAGGATTTTTTTAATCAAGAACTGGAGGTCGTAAAAGGATCCGGCAAGACATAAAAACCGAGATCACAAATGTCTGCAAGTCATCAAACAAAAATGATCCGCTAGCCGGTACACTTTTCACTTAAGAAAACCAAGAGATAAAAACATAGTGCACCTCGTTGGCAGATGGCTGTCGCGTGTAGTACGCAAGAACTAGGGATTCCAGCACAAAATAGCGTTTACGGAAAAACGACCGCCCGATCTTACGACGGCCACACCGCACCATCCACCCCTCCATAGTTGGCCTTGTCGTTGATGAATGTCCTCAAATATGTACTACATTCTCCGTTGTAGAGCTGATCAGCTTGCCATGGATGGCAATCTCACATGAGTACTACGAATACTCACCCCCTACATAAATCACAATAATTCATTCTCCAACATTCAATCTTAACCAACGAGCTACACTTCCTTCCTCAGCCTGCCCGCCTACACAAAACGCAAACTATACCTCAAAGCCAGTCTATGCCCATTCACATAAAACCATTCAAACAAACAACCTTAGACATTGATACCTCAAAACAAATCTGTGTCTGTATAAATAAACAAATAAAAAGAAATATGAAATCCAAATCGGAAAACATATGCAATAAGTGCAAAAGGAGTGAACAATGACCAGAGGGTGAGTCTGATCTCAGACCTAGCTAAAGATCCACCAGATTACTCAGATCAACACCATAAGACATCAACCGTCGATAAGGAAGAAAGGAGAAAAAAGAAACGCGGAGGAGTCCAATCGGGAATCGGAAACAGAGCGAAAGACGTGTGTTCAGGCGGAAAAGGAAAAAAGAAATGAATCACAGCAGTAAGATACTCTAAGATTCAATGATTCTATGCGTTGTTGTGCATTACACAACCTGATATACCGTAGGTATGAGAGTGAAGAAGCGAAGAGAAAGAGACAGATTAACAACAGCAATACAGTGACGTAAGCAGCAGAGGTGTGATGACGCACTGCAGCAACGAAGTTGGTTGACTAAGACAGCACAGGAATGTGCCTTGAAAGCGGCTTGTGATCTGATGACCTCCGCTCAGGGGAGGTACGTGGATGAATCTAAAAGTGGACTGATGAACTCAGAAAATCGAACTCTTCTCCTGTTGGCACTGCTACCAATTGCGGTCCGTACTCATGGCCCCATTGCATCGCTGCATCTTGTGCGACAACAGCAACCTGCGCAACTCAGCAGCAGTGTTGAAAAACAACCTTACAGGTAGGATAAGCTAGCAGGCACTCGTGCGGGCCTCTAGCACACACGTGCACTTCCAGAACGTAACTAAATTCAGTTTAAGGCAAATGATGATTTAACTGAACACCACTAGTTTGTTGGGGTGCACGACATTTAAGGCCCCGCGCACAATCACGAAAAGATAGTTGTGTTATTTAGATCTTCTATTTAATGACAGTGGCAGAACATTTGGAAGGTCACTTGTGTGAATTGAATGTGTTTTGAGTATCTTTTCATTTTATTCTCAACAGGTTATGGGCCCACGTTTTTTTTGTTGTCCTTTACTTCCAAGCAGTAGATTTTTCTTCACATTTTTTGGAATCATGTGACAAATCTTTTCCACAAGAGAAAAGCAAAGCTCAAAACCACTTCGCATCTTCCTCCTCGAGTGACTATTTCATCACCTTTTCTTGATAGAATGGAGGAAGTTTGCGACACAGAAACTTATCTAGCCTAGGAAGTAAACTCGAGCGGATCTGCTCGCAACCAGACCATCAAGCCTTCCATCTCTTGTTTCATACTCCTCTCTTAAATTAGACATAGTTTGCATCAGTGTTACGCACATCAACAAACTCACGGGGGACAACTTCTCAATCTGGAAATTCCAAATGAGCATCCTATTCCGCGCAAAGAAGTTGCTAGGAATAGTGAATGGAATAACCCCGAGAGAATCCTTCATCAATGAAGAAGGATGGACCGATAAGGACGCAGCATGCCAATCCTTCTAGATTTCTACTATTGACATGCGGATGAAGCCGGATAGTGAGGTGGTTGACCACGTGAGCTCCATCGCGCAACTCGAACACCAATTCAACAATTTGAGAGAGTCCATTTTGGATCAAGCCATGATCTGCAAGATCCTAAGCATTCTACTGCATTGCTTTTGCCACCTCTTCTCAGCATGGGATAGTGTCCCGAGAAATGAGCAGATAGTAGAAGCTCTTACACTATGTTTGTTAAAGGAAGAAAGCCGAAACAAGATTCAAGAGGGCGTGAACGAAGATGAAGAAAAAGCTTTCTTCACCAACCGAGGCCAAGGCCAAGTTTCAAATCCAAAACAAAGACCACTCTCCATCAAAGAGAAAAAGAGACGATCTGCTAGGATCACAGAGCTCAAGGAGAAAACCAAGTGCCGAAAATGTGGAAAGAGGGGGCATTGGGAGTGCAAATGCCCTGACAACAGCAAGAATAGATTATTTGAAAAAAGCAAAAACAACGGAGTAAAGAAGTATGAAGCGAACACTGTTGTTGCCAAGGGATCCAATGAGGATGATAGTACTGCGTCCATGGCACACACTAACAAATCTGTCGACGACTCCAAAGCTTGGTACATGGACGGAGGGGTGACGGACCATATGACAGACTATTGGATCTGGTTTGTCTCGCTAAAATTAGTATCTCGAGGATGATGGCCCGAGATAATCGTTCACAACAGACGGCTTAAGGTCTGAGGTGTCGGCCGCATCAATATACAATGTAAACTTGATAATGCGTGGAAACCACAGCACATCCATTGCATCCTCTACGTCTCGGAACTACGGAAGAACCTTTTTTTCGTAAAGCAAGCAGCTGACAAAGGGTTCATTACTACATACACCCGCTGTAAATGCTACCTCACAAGTCTCGAGGGGCGGAGAAAAATTGTTTTAACAAGGATTCATATTAACAAATTATACAAGCTAGAACTCAAGGTTGAATGTTAAGCCGCCCAAGCCCACATCGCCATAGTACGAGATGCACACAGCAGATGTGATGAGATGAATTTGAACCTACCAGGGATGGCAAAATCTTCCACAAGCACATTGGAATCCAAAACAAGGCAAGTCAACACACAAGCACCTCCCAAAACGACTACAACTTCAGCAAGCGTGGAAGTGGCCCCTAAGCTTCTCTCTTACCATCAAACCATGACATCCTAGGGACACCAATAGACATCTTCTATCAAAGTAGATACCAGTGCAAAGGGTTTAATTGATTCACTTGAAAAGGAAAAGCAAGCACAAGGACAAACCAAAGCTTAAATGGGAAGGTTAATCCTGTGGCATGAATGATTTGGGCATGTGCACAATGCCATGATCGTGCACATACACACACAATGTTGTCCTGGGATTGGGCTTGCAAAACCATGCAGTGCCGAAGACCCTATACAAGGGCTGTGCAATGGGAAAGAATACTAGGAAGCCATTTCCAAAGCAGTAGTCTTCACTGAGGGCCAAGAAACTAGATGAGTTTTTCCATAGTGATGAATGCGGACCAATGAGCAAGGTTTCACTAGGCAAAGCTCATTATTTAGTCCTCTTCAAGGATAATTTTTTGGAATATAGAATCATTTATTGCATCCATTACAAGACGGAAGTGTTTCAAAAATGTAAAGAACTCTATGCACTTATATCCCAGCAAACAGGAAACTAAGTCCAGAAGCTCTACAACGATTGAGGGGGTGAATTATTGAGCCAAGAATTCACACAATTTTTAGTTGACTTAGGCATCTAACACAACCTTACAAGCCCCCACATTCTAGAGCAAAACGGTAGTGCCGAAAGGAAAAACCGCGTACAGGGGTGGGCAATGCTACACACGAAAAAGTTGAATCTGAACTTTTGGAGGGAAGCGGTCCAGGCTGTTGCCCACCTCCTTAACCGAACAGCCTCTCGTACAAGAAGCTACAAATCCTCATACAAACTGTGGATCAGACGAGTGTTGATTATGTCAAACTTGTGTATTTTTGGATGCACCACATACGTGCACATTCGTATCCGCAGTGCACCAACGTACTTGCAAGACTACGTAGGTCTCAGCACATTTGTCAATCTTGCCTCGAGCCAATATATCCCAGATGATTCCAATACTTATGAAGAGGCACTCACAAGTCTTAAAGCGGTCGAATGGAAGAAAGCCATAGAGGCAAAGCACAAATCACTCTTAAAAAATGAAACTTTGCATCTTGTCTTCCTACCTCCAGATCAAAAACCAATGCACTGCAAGTGGATTTACACAATTAAAACGCACTCTAATGGGTCCATTGCAAAGTTCAAGTCACGGCTTGTCATGAAGGGATATACACAACAGTTCGGAGTTGACTACGACCAAATGTTTAGCCCCTTGATAAAATATGAGTCAATCCAAACGGTGCTCGCCATTGCAGCTCAGCAATGCATGCCAATCATTCAATTTGATATACAAACATCATTCTTGTATGGTTCTCTTGACACAAAGATCTACATGCAGCATCTGGAAGGATTTGAAATCATGAGCCAAAACAATCCGCAAAAGGTATGTCTCTTGCTCAAGAGCCTATACGGTCTAAAACAGTCCGAGCAGATTGGGAATCAGAAATTTCACAAATTGCCCATGAAATTCAACCTTGAACCAAGAGAAGTAGATCTCAATATCTACATTTTTGAAGTTAGAGCCGTGGCTCATCGTGACTCTCTTTGTGGACGACAGCTTAGCCACTTGCTCTTCAATGGCCTGGTTAGAGGACCTCGTGCACCATATGGAATAACAGTTTGGTATTACTCGCTCAGATGTTGACCTCTACGTCAGACTTCATTTTCTTTGTCTTCAAGCCAACGAACACATTTTCATCCATCAAGCGATTTACCTTTGACAAATATTGAATCGCTTTGATTTCAATGAATGTACTCCGGTGAGTGTACCTAGCGACTCCATCACTACGCTCGACAGTGACAAGGAGTCCCTCCTACCATCGTTTGTCTACTCCAGTGCTGTGAGATGCCTCTTGTATGCGTAGATCCTTAGCCATTCTGATATCAACTATGCGGTCAATACTGTAGCACAATTCTTAGCAAGCCCACAATGCCAACACTACCAAGCTGTAGCGCAAATTTTTTGTTACCTCGCGGGCACTCTCTACCTTACACTATGTTTCAGCAGCACAGCCAAGACGATGTTGCTTGAAGGATATGGAATTGCGGAATAAGCTGAAAATGTCAGAGATCGGAAGTTCCGCACATGTATGCTGCTCCTACTCAACAGGACACTTGTTTTCTAGTGTAGTAGAAAGCAGAATTGTGTCTCTACCTCTACTACCAAATTCGAGTATGTGGCAGCAGCATCTACTACAAAAGATGTCATTTGGCATTGTCGATTCCTTGCAAACCTGCATTACAAGCAGAGCCAAGCCATGCGCATCCTCTCCGATAACCAAAGTGCAATTTAGCTTGTTCACAACCTTAATTTCCACCGTTGAACAAAGCACAGTGACGTAGTTTATCATTTTATATGTCAGCACCAACGATTAGGTGATATCGAAATCCAATATGTTAATACCACGACACAGTTGGCAGATCTGCTCACGAACGCATTATCTTTTGATCGCTTCTCCTTACTTCGTGACTGCATTGGATGGCTCCCAATGCCAAGCATCGAGCATGTCCATTAAGCAACAATTTTTCTGATGTTACAGCCCACTAGCATTGGGAGTTAGTGCTCTGAGGGATGATGTTAAAAAACAACCTTCCAAGTCGGATAATCTAGCCTGCACTCGTGCGCCTCCAGCACACCCACGCACTTCCAACACATAATTAAATTCAGTTTAAGACAAATGATGATTTAACTGAACACCACTAGTTTATTAGGGTGCACGACATTTAAGGCCCAATGCACATTCACGAAAGGCCAAGTATGTTATTTAGATCTTCTATTTAATGCAAGTAGCAGA